CCCAGCCATAATACATTCTTGAGCAGATAAAAAATGACTTTCTATATTTCGAACATGTTTTACCTAAGTAAATTAAATTAATCCTATTAATTAGGAATTTTAAATTATGAAAAATAAAATAAAATTATAAATAAATTTACCGTTCCTATCTTGATATCATCAGCTATAAGATCAGTAAAAATCCATCCAATTTTTTTTAAATTAAGTAAATGAGCCAATTCATCAACTATTGTTTCCTTTTCATCTGGTAAAAGTCGTATAGAATTTTTTGTACTTTCCTAAAATATAATTAAATATATAATTATATCACTTATAGATGCATACTTAAAATATTTAAATTAAAAGTTGATTTAAAGATTTAGATTAAAAAAATATTTATAGATATGGTTATTATTATTTATTTTAATTAAATAATCACCTGTGGGGGCTCATAAATAGCTGTAACAACAGCTCTAATTCCTAATGGTACATCTGTATGTATTTCATATCTTCCATATAAAAATCCAATACGTTGATGACCTGTGCTACGCCAATAATTGAGAAAACGCTCAACTAAACTTGAATTTTCAAACATAACGTTGTCGACATGACGATAAGTTTGGCGATTTAGAGTAATAGAACTTGGTTGACATTTGCTACATATACCTCGTGGCCAAGGTGGATGATCTTTACAACCAGTCTTTATACGGCAGTTTATGTCATCTAATTGTATAAACTTCCCTCTATAAAATATGTAAAGTGTTATATATTTATATATTTTATATATAATGCAATATGAACATACCTATCAACACCAGCAGTGAGTTTTCTAAGATATGAATGAAATGATAAATGTTTTATATTTTGTTCTTTAAGATAAGCTTCATCAAAAGGTTCTAAAGGAGTACAATGAACACAGCATCCATTTGCACCATGTCTACAACTATTAAACAAATTATAATATATATAATCTAATCTTATATAAAAAAATTTATTCATATATAGAATGTTAATATATTTGTGATATTTTTAAAGAGTTAATAAAGATTAAAATAAATACAAAAATTAGTATATAGAAATATTGCTTGATATTTATTTATCAAGTTATAAACAATTTGCTTTGAACAAAGTGAAATGTAAATATAATCATGAAACGAAAATAAAGTAGTTTCATTCTATCTTCATTTACCTAATATCTATCTTACTTTACCTAATTAAATTTAATATATATATTATATATATTATATATAATATAAATTTATAATTTAACAAATAATTTAATAACATTTTTCTGTATTTATTTTTTTACTTTATGTTTTAAAAAATTTTCTAAAATTATGTCATGAATATATTAACATTCTATATATTTATATTATATTCACTTACAGTTTTTCATCACGTTTTCTTTGTATTTTACCATCAAGTTTCCATAATTGTTCATCAACATCCTCAATTATATTTGATACAGATTGAGAAACATTAGTATGATTGATAGTTTCTATTTCATCCATTGGTCTTGGTTCTAATATTGAGTCAAATTTAACTTTTTAAAATATTAAATTAAAATAAAAAAAAAATGAAATAATAAAATTTAATTAAAACCTTGAGAAATATCAATGGTGGCAGTACTAGTTGAGGGAGTACTCCACAATTGTATATTATTTTGAGGAGCAAGATATAACATATCTCCATGAGAAAGACGTGTTCCTGAAACTGTTTTGCTGTGAGAATATGGAAGTTCATCTTTATGATTTCGTTCTCTATAGAGTACAAATCCAGTAGTATTCAATTCAAAGGCTTTAGAGATCTATAATTTTCAAAAATAAATATTAATATTTTTAATTTAATATTTATATAATTATAAGTTATTATGTCATATTATATAATATAAATACAAACCTTTTCATATACTAAAGAAATT